CTTAATTGATTTTCCTAGTTAGTTTTTTCAATTAAAAGGGCTGAAATGCGCCTTAAAAACCATCGTTCAAAAGGCTGAACTGTGCCTTTAAGTCGCAGCAAAAATTGTAAGTGTAAACAGGCTTTTAAAGACAACAAAATGTGTTACCTGATATCACTCCGCTATAAAACTGGTCCGCTTCATTCTTTCTACTTTCAAAAATCTTCTCAAAGTCTTCTCCGAAAGGCTTCTCCGATGCGTCCTTGGCAATCGTGAGCCTAACTCTGAGCACGCGTTCCTCACCCCCCTGGATCTCTAACATGTGATGTGCAGCGACCTTGGTGCCTTTCTTCTTAGGGCTGACTGCCTCGCCCTCACCGTTGATGAGGTAGCGATGAAAAGCATCCTTGGTGTAGGGGGTGTATTGTGAAGCACCGTATAGTTTCTTAAAGGAAATGTAAGAAAGTCAGGATTTTATTGCATGAATAATCGGTGATTCCGATTTTTTCGAATCGGTCTAATACAATCCAAAATATACTTTATTGTTGATTTCAAACCACTTTTCAACGCGCGGTTCCCAAGTTCGTTGCGATCTTGCCAATTACGTTTCCAAGTTCAAAAATTGGGCGCGAACTTCACAAAAAATTTCGCAAGTACATTTCAATGTTTGATCTATTGTAAACAAATGTTCATAGTTCAAGTTGAAATTAACAATTCAATGGAAAGTTCTTGGTCCAGTGGTCTACCAAGAAGGTTTGTATTTCATTGAATTGGTTATTATTATTGAGTATGAACATTTGTTTGCAAACGAAGTTCAAACATTGAAATGAACTTGCGAACTTTGTTGCGAAGTTCGCGCCCAATTTTCGAACTTGGAAACGTAATTGGCAAGATTGCAAAGAAACTTGGGAACCGCGCATTGAAAAGTGACTTGAAATCGACAATGAATTTAAACTATATTGTATAAAGTCGTTATAATACAATATCGATAATATCGGCAATAAAAATACCGATAGTTTGAATTTAGCGCCGATATCCGATACG